ACTTGCATATTATAAAGTTGTTCTGTCTAAAGGACAGAAGAAGAATTACTTTCATATTATAAAGTCTTTCTGTCTAAAGGACAAAAGAAGAATTACTTGCATATTATAAAGTTGTTCTGCCTAAAGGACAGAAGAATTACTTGCATATTATAAAGATGTTCTGTCTAAAGGACAGAAGAAGAATTACATGCATATTATAAAGTCTTTCTGTCCAAAGGGCAGAAGAAGAATTACTTGTATATTATACAGTCTTTCTGTCTAAAGGACAGAAGAAGAATTACTTGTATATTATAAAGATATTCTGTCTAAAGGACATAAAAAGAATTGCATGCCTATTATAAAGTAATTCTATCTAAAGGATAGAAGTAGAATTAGAGGCCTATTATTTTGAATGTGGGGGAGGGGGGGGGGGGTATAATTGACACAAGCAAGTGGTTTGACTAATGGGTGTTTGTTGAATCTGGTGACCCCAGGAACCAAAGGTCTGCATTTTAATAAACAGATCTGTAAAACTACAACTAAAGTCCAGAAAAGTAAGTTTACAACCAGTGATCACTAAGAAGAAGGAGGTAAATAATGTGATCATAATCATACTGGCTGCCTTGATGTTCCAAAACATTTTCTGTCAGCCAGCTTTAGCTGGGTCAGTGTGGGAACCCAGGTCATCAGTAACAAAAACCATACAGATGTTGTTAGCAGTCTATGACCTAGGGGCTAGTTGGCACTACCTGAGTCTAGAATTGTATGGTCAGCACTACCTGGGTCTAGGACTGTAGGGTCAGCACTACCTGGGTCTAGAACTGTAGGGTCAGCACTACCTGGGTCTAGGACTGTAGGGTCAGCACTACCTGGGTCTAGAACTGTAGGGTTAGCACTACCTGGGTCTAGAACTGTAGGGTCAGCACTACCTGGGTCTAGAACTGTAGGGTCACCACTACCTGGGTCTAGAACTGTAGGGTCAGCACTACCTGGGTCTAGAACTGTAGGGTCAGCACTACCTGGGTCTAGAACTGTAGGGTCAGCACTACCTGGGTCTAGAACTGTAGGGTTAGCACTACCTGGGTCTAGAACTGTAGGGTCAGCACTACCTGGGCCTAGAACTGTAGGGTCACCACTACCTGGGTCTAGAACTGTAGGGTCAGCACTACCTGGGTCTAGAACTGTAGGGTCAGCACTACCTGGGTCTAGAACTGTAGGGTTAGCACTATCTGGGTCTAGAACTGTAGGGTTAGCACTACCTGGGTCTGGAACTGTAGGGTTAGCACTACCTGGGTCTAGAATTGTAGGGTCAGCACTACCTGGGTCTAGAACTGTAGGGTTAGCACTACCTGGGTCTATAACTGTAGGGTCAGCACTACCTGGGTCTAGAACTGTAGGGTTAGCACTACCTGGGTCTAGAACTGTAGGGTTAGCACTACCTGGGTCTAGAACTGTAGGGTCAGCACTACCTGGGTCTAGGACTGTAGGGTGAGCACTACCTGGGTCTAGAACTGTAGGGTCAGCACTACCTGGGTCTAGGACTGTAGGGTGAGCACTACCTGGGTCTAGAACTGTAGGGTCAGCACTACCTGGGTCTAGAACTGTAGGGTCAGCACTACCTGGGTCTAGAACTGTAGGGTTAGCACTATCTGGGTCTAGAACTGTAGGGTTAGCACTACCTGGGTCTGGAACTGTAGGGTTAGCACTACCTGGGTCTAGAATTGTAGGGTCAGCACTACCTGGGTCTAGAATTGTAGGGTCAGCACTACCTGGGTCTAGAATTGTAGGGTCAGCACTACCTGGGTCTAGAACTGTAGGGTTAGCACTACCTGGGTCTAGATCTGTAGGGTTAGCACTACCTGGGTCTATAACTGTAGGGTCAGCACTACCTGGGTCTAGAACTGTAGGGTTAGCACTACCTGGGTCTATAACTGTAGGGTTAGCACTACCTGGGTCTAGAACTGTAGGGTCAGCACTACCTGTGTCTAGGACTGTAGGGTCAGCACTACCTGGGTCTAGAACTGTAGGGTCAGCACTACCTGGGTCTAGAACTGTAGGGTCAGCACTACCTGGGTCTAGAACTGTAGGGTCAGCACTACCTGGGTCTAGAACTGTAGGGTCAGCATTACCTGGGTCTAGAACTGTCGGGTCAGCACTACCTGGGTCTAGAACTGTAGGGTCAGCACTACCTGGGTCTAGAATTGTAGGGTCAGCACTACCTGGGTCTAGAATTGTAGGGTCAGCACTACCTGGGTCTAGAAATGTAGGGTTAGCACTACCTGGGTCTAGAACTGTAGGGTTAGCACTACCTGGGTCTAGAACTGTAGGGTAAGCACTACCTGGGTCTAGAACTGTAGGGTCAGCACTACCTGGGTCTAGAACTGTAGGGTCAGCACCATGAACTTGGCATGTTGTGCAGTGTGATAAATGTCCTTGATCTGGCAATTGCATGCTAAGTTTTAGTGGTTCCAGATGCCTTATCATCTCCTTTCTTTGTATTTCTGCTCTTGTTGCTTTTCAGGCTAGCACCATGCCCTCCAACTCCGAGCAGCTGGTGGGAGCGATTCTTGTCCGCAAGGATATCTTTCACAGGTTTGAGACAACCATGAGTGACACCTGTCTGGATGCTAACAATTTACTAGAATATCTGTTTTCTCTCTACAACAGGTATGTCTGTAGTTTATTATCAGTTTGATACATTTAGAATTTGGTGTCCATTGGCAGCAATTTTGTTAACAGGCATTCCAGCTTATATTAAGGCAACAATGAAAAGCTTTTTTCTGCCAGAGGTCTGCATGTGTTGTCCGATGTGGTTTGCTCTCACCCTAGACATGACCAGACAGTTCTGCCAGAGGTCTGCATGTGTAGTACCTCAGATGTGGTTTGCTCTCACTCTAGACTTGACCAGACAGTTCTGCCAGAGGTCTGCATGTGATGTCCGATGTGGTTTGCTCTCACTCTAGACTTGACCAGACAGTTCTGCCAGAGGTCTGCATGTGATGTCCGATGTGGTTTGCTCTCACTCTAGACTTGACCAGACAGTTCTGCCAGAGGTCTGCATGTGATGTCAGGTGTGGTTTGCTCTCATTCTAGGCTTGACTAGACAGTTCTGCCAGAGGTCTGCATGTGATGTCAGATGTGGTTTGCTCTCATTCTAGGCTTGACTAGACAGTTCTGCCAGAGGTCTGCATGTGATGTCAGATGTTGTTTGCTCTCACCCTAAACTTGACTAGACAGGGTAGGCTTGAAACCTAAGTTTCTTTTATTGAGAATTTTTAGACTATCTTCACATGCTTAAGAATCAGTCTAGTTTTTACTAAGTAAAAGTTAATTTTGTATTGGTTAAACCAGATATCACTTCAAGTAATCACAATGGAGCAAATGCAGGGTCACTATTGGATCTGAAGGAGCACATCATCCTTCAACATATTATGTGTGTAGTACCTCAGCACAACATCCTTCAACATATTATATGTGTAGTACCTCAGCACATCATCCTTCAACATATTATATGTATAGTACCTCAGCACATCATCTTTCAACATATTATATGTGTAGTACCTCAGCACAACATCCTTCAACATATTATATGTGTAGTACCTCAGCACATCATCCTTCAACATAATATGTGTATAGTACCTCAGCACAACATCCTTCAACATATTATATGTGTAGTACCTCAGCACAACATCCTTCCACTTATTATGTGTGTAGTACCTCAGCACAACATCCTTCCACATATGTGTGTAGTACCTCAGCACAACATCCTTCCACTTATTATGTGTGTAGTACCTCAGCACAACATCCTTCCACTTATTATATGTGTAGTACCTCAGCACAACATCCTTCCACATATTATGTGTGTAGTACCTCAGCACAGCATCCTTCCACTTATTATATGTGTAGTACCTCAGCACAACATCCTTCCACTTGTTATGTGTGTAGTACCTCAGCACAAACATCCTTTAACATATTACATGTGTAGTATCTCAGCACAGCATCCTTCCATATATTATATGTTTAGTACCTCAGCACAACATCATTCCACATATTATATGTGTAGTACCTCAGCACAACATCATTCCACATATTATATGTGTAGTACCTCAGCACAACATCATTCCACATATTATATGTGTAGTACCTACAGGACAGCATTGTTGTTCCATACCTGATATACTTGTCTAGCTTAATTCAGTTCAAGACAGTGTTGGTTGTTCCATACCTGATATACTTGTCTAGCTTCCTTCAGTTCAAGACAGTGTTGGTTGTTCCATACCTCATATACTTGTCTGACTTCCTTCAGTTCAAGACAGTGTTGGTTGTTCCATACCTGATATACTTGTCTGGCTTCCTTCAGTTCAAGACAGTGTTGGTTGTTCCATACCTTATATACTTGTCTGACTTTCTTCAGTTCAAGACAGTGTTGGTTGTTCCATACCTCATATACTTGTCTGGCTTTCTTCAGTTCAAGACAGTGTTGGTTGTTCCATACCTGATATACTTGTCTAGCTTCCTTCAGTTCAAGACAGTGTTGGTTGTTCCATACCTCATATACTTGTCTGACTTCCTTCAGTTCAAAACAGTGTTGGTTGTTCCATACCTGATATACTTGTCTGGCTTCCTTCAGTTCAAGACAGTGTTGGTTGTTCCATACCTCATATACTTGTCTGACTTTCTTCAGTTCAAGACAGTGTTGGTTGTTCCATACCTCATATACTTGTCTGACTTCCTTCAGTTCAAAACAGTGTTGGTTGTTCCATACCTGATATACTTGTCTGGCTTCCTTCAGTTCAAGACAGTGTTGGTTGTTCCATACCTCATATACTTGTCTGACTTTCTTCAGCTCAAGACAGTGTTGGTTGTTCCATACCTCATATACTTGTCTGGCTTTCTTCAGTTCAAGACAGTGTTGGTTGTTCCATACCTGATATACTTGTCTGACTTCCTTCAGTTCAAGACTGTGTTGGTTGTTCCATACCTCATATACTTGTCTGACTTCCTTCAGTTCAAGACAGTGTTGGTTGTTCCATACCTCATATACTTGTCTTTCTTCCTTCAGTTCAAGACAGTGTTGGTTGTTTCATACCTCATATACTTGTCTTTCTTCCTTCAGTTCAAGACAGTGTTGGTTGTTCCATACCTGATATACTTGTCTGACTTCCTTCAGTTCACGACAGTGTTGGTTGTTCTATACCTCATATACTTGTCTGGCTTTCTTCAGTTTAAGACAGTGTTGGTTGTTCCATACCTGATATACTTGTCTAACTTCCTTCATTTCAAGACAGTGTTGGTTGTTCCATACCTCATATACTTGTCTGACTTCCTTCAGTTCAAGACAGTGTTGGTTGTTCCATACCTCATATACTTGTCTTTCTTCCTTCAGTTCAAGACAGTTTTGGTTGTTTCATACCTCATATACTTGTCTTTCTTCCTTCAGTTCAAGACAGTGTTGGTTGTTCCATACCTGATATACTTGTCTGACTTCCTTCAGTTCAAGACAGTGTTGGTTGTTCCATACCTCATATACTTGTCTTTCTTCCTTCAGTTCAAGACAGTGTTGGTTGTTCCATACCTGATATACTTGTCTGGCTTCCTTCAGTTCAAGACAGTGTTGGTTGTTCCATACCTTATATACTTGTCTGACTTTCTTCAGTTCAAGACAGTGTTGGTTGTTCCATACCTTATATACTTGTCTGGCTTTCTAGACAGTCTTGGTTGTTCCATACCTGATATACTTGTCTGGCTTCCTTCAATTCAAGACAGTCTTGGTTGTTCCATACCTGATATACTTGTCTGGCTTCCTTCAATTCAAGACAGTCTTGGTTGTTCCATACCTGATATACTTGTCTGGCTTCCTTCAATTCAAGACAGTCTTGGTTGTTCCATACCTGATATACTTGTCTGGCTTCCTTCAGTTCAAGACAGTGTTTGTTGTTTGATACCTGATATACTTGTCTGGCTTCCTTCAGTTCAAGACAGTGTTTGTTGTTTGATACCTGATATACTTGTCTCATGGTCTCTCGCCCCTGACTCTAAGTAGCTGCTGATTACCTGCGTAGCTGGTTCAATGCTGAAGATGATATTCGAGCTGTCATCTTGCAGTGTTCTCTTTCATCGTCAGATTCTTCACATTCATACAGAATTACAAACACAACCTCTCAACAGTGGCTGTGTCAGAACTCTTTACCATTTTTATCATTGCAGGTTTTTTGTGTGTCTAAAACGCTCAGCTCTTAATTTATCTGCAATCCCCTTCTCTTGTGCCTCTATTGCCCTCCTGATCTTTTCTCTCAGTGCAGTGCAATTTGTGACATCTTGTTCCCAAGATTTTATCTCAATGCCTGTTTAGTTTATGTCCTGCTTGCATACATCTTTATAATAAAGCAGGGGTTGACCAAGAGATCTGCCTGTGTGTAATTCACAATAGAGGATGTCCTTTGGAATTCAGCCATCCTGCATTCTCCAGGTGTGGCCAACCATATAAACCTATGAAGACTGAGCATTGAAAAAATTGTTCAAAAACCAGCTTTTTCTAAAACCCCAATATTTGTAATCCTATCCTGCCACCTCATGCCGAGTATTCTTCGTAAGCATCGCATGTGAAAACTGTTTAGTCGCTTCTTTTGATACCAGTAAGTTGACCGTTTCACTATCTTTAAGAAGAGTCTTGATGACACATGCTTGGTAGATGAGGGTCTTTGTTTTAACTGTGTGCTTCCTGTTCTCCGAGACTCTCTTATTTAATCTGCTCATTGTTGTTGCAGCCTTCCCTATCCTGATGTTGATTTCTTAATCCAGGGATAGTTCGTTGTTAACTGAGGATCCCAGATATGTGAGACTGTCAGCTGTTTCAAGCTACCTGTTCTGTAGCTGATATACTGAGGATCCCAGATATGTGAAACTGTCAGCTGTTTCAAGTTACTTGTTCTGTAGCTGATATACTGAGGATCCCAGATCCGTGAAACTGTCAGCTGTTTCATGCTACTTGTTCTGTAGCTGATATACTGAGGATCCCAGATATGTGAAACTGTCAGCTGTTTCAAGCTACTTGTTCTGTAGCTGATATACTGAGGATCCCAGATATGTGAAACTGTCAGCTGTTTCAAGCTACTTGTTCCGTAGCTGATATACTGACAATCCCAGATACATGAAACTGTCAGCTGTTTCAAGCTACCTGTTCTGTAGCTGATATACTGGGATCCCAGATACGTGAAACTGTCAGCTGTTTCAAGCTACTTGTTCTGTAGCTGATATACTGAGATCCCAGATATGTGAAACTGTCAGCTGTTTCAAGCTACTTGTTCCGTAGCTGATATACTGAGGATCCCAGATATGTGAAACTGTCAGCTGTTTCAAGCTACTTGTTCTGTAGCTGATATACTGAGATCCCAGATATGTGAAACTGTCAGCTGTTTCAAGCTACTTGTTCCGTAGCTGATATACTGAGGATCCCAGATACGTGAAACTGTCAGCTGTTTCAAGCTACCTGTTCTGTAGCTGATATACTGATGATCCCAGATATGTGAAACTGTCAGCTGTTTCAAGCTACTTGTTCTGTAGCTGATATACTGAGGATCCCAGATATGTGAAACTGTCAGCTGTTTCAAGCTACTTGTTCCGTAGCTGATATACGGACGATCCCAGATACATGAAACTGTCAGCTG